TGGATATTAAAGCAGTAAACTGTCCTTACACTCTTCCTCAGAATCACCTGGCGTTTGATTAGGTCCTTCCAAGATCTGAATATGAAGCTCTACAGGTCATGCTCAGGAATCTCCATTAAATATGCATGCTGGTTTCCCAAACACCAAAGAATCTGTTGACAAGACAGGGCTGAGAGTATTTGTAAAAGCATAAGGGAGATCAGTGCTTGGTAGAGATTTTGTAGCATCTCTGAGGGGAAAGGGCTTGATTAAGATTGCAGTACCGGGCAAGGGGGGTAGGGGTGGGGCTGATGTAATGGTTTAGGATTGGTAGCCATTGCAAGGTGAATGTTTTGAGACAAGGCTTTTGAAGAACGTAAGGAATACAGGTGTTTGATGGTGTCTGTTGAAGAATTGAACTGTTTGATGTTCATATCAATGAATTTTTTAAGGAAGTTTCTGGAATAAAAAGGTTATAATAAAGTCATGATGATAAAGACAGAGGAACAGAGGAACACCAAAGCTTTGTTAGTGAGGACAATGGACTTTAAAGTCATGACAATGTAGACAAAGGTGAGTGGGTGTAGATGCTCTTGGTTCTCAGCCTCTTCAGCCTGAGCTGAAAGGGTAGACCATTAGTGTCTGGGAGCATAATCAAGCTATAATTCCACCACAACTCAAGGGGTCACAGTCTTGTATCATCTTCCCAGGTTGCTGTTTTAACTCCTTTTCTGGTTTTCCTCTTCTTTTTGTTGGACAATCATTGGTTGGATCATTACAGGGGACAGCAGCTGCAATAAGTATGCAAAACTCTGGAGATCACAGAGCTGACCACTGCAACCCAGACCATTAGTAACAGAAGGTTTATAATCAGAGTTTGCAGTCTGCTTCTCAGCCAGGAACCAAACCAAGAGAAGTTCTCATCACCCATCTGAATGGGGGGCTATTAGCAAAAGTCTCTGAATTCATAACTTCTTCCTTTGCATTTGAATCTCATTGGCAACATTTTAGCTATTAGTGAGGTCTGGAGGGAGGCAATCACAACAACCTTCCCCTACAGTACCAGCTGTTCCCCTTGAGGGATCCGAATTACTTTTAAAGTTACTCTATTTTGATCACCTGATATTTTCCTGTTTCTTGTAAGATATATCCCATCAACAAACAAAACTCTTTTGATGTTCTAAAGTTGTTTTCTAGCAAATCTGTCCAAAATATGCTAGATTGTTTGCAATCAGACAGTTATAGGTGCCCCCTGCTTAAAGACAGTGGAAGAAGAGTAGAATCATCTGGTGAATAGAAATAAATAAAGGGGGTGGGGAGCGAAGAGGATTTCCTAGGATCTTACTTGCAATAAAGTGTTTATTCTCAGTGGACAACAAAAAAATGTGCACCATTAGGGACTGTCAAGTTTAAAAGAGATTCTAAACACCAAGTCAACAGAACCCGCACTAGTTTACTTGTAGCTGCTGTGCTTAGATCCTTAATAAGATCAATAGGCTTTTGCTACTGGTTCAAGAGAGAAACTGAGTAAGCTAATATCTCTGATGATTCACCAGAAGTTGTCAGAACACTCAGGCCTTTTTTCAAATCTCTCATATTACATGTGAAATAGACAAGCTTACAATAATTCGGGAGACCCAGAGTGGGAAGTTTTTAACTCACAAAAGGAGTGTCATCCTTAGATTCTTGGATAAGAGGTTGGTCGCTTCAGTCTAAAGTATGCCTAACTTTAGAAAACAACCTTTCAAAAGAGCCAGGGTCCTACAGATAATTCAATATCTATTAGGTTAACACTCCCTTGAGGCAAGAACAGCATGAAGTAAGGTTTGGGGATGTCAATCATTTTTAGTAAATCTCCAAGTTTATCTTCATCCTTACTACAAGATGGCGGCATAGATAAGACAGGTCAGGTGATCCATGGCTATCTCCAACTCCCTCACATTAGAGTCGTCCCAGGCATGGAGCCACTTTTTTCCTTTGCTAGACGAGTGTGGAGGGCTGAGTTAATCACAGCTAGGAAGAGGGGTCTCCCAGAAACTAACCCTGACAGGACTTTGATCTTGGGCTTTCAGCCTCCAGAACTGAAAAATTAGTTTCTGTTGATGAAGCCAGCCTGTCTGTGGTGTTTTGCTATGGCAGCCTGAACAGAGCACTGTGCCCTTGATTTAGATGTACCTTTAAATGTATATTTCCCAACCCTTAGATGTTTTTGACACCTTGGAATGATAACACATTCTCAATTTGCATCTAATGTAATATAATTGTACTAGATGGCATTTTTGGAAGGGAGTCACAGAATCAGGGCTGACAGCACTGCCTGAGGGGACAGCAGAGTGGTAAAACATCCAGAAGGGAGGGTCACCCCTAAGAACCAGTGACCCTACAGTAGTTCTTCCTAGGATATGCCCCAACAGAATAACACAACAATTTAGACAAGCCATTTGTTGCTTTTCAACACTGAGAACAAGAAAACATAGATCTGAGAAAAGTCTGGCTGGGTAGCAAGTAATAGATTAGCTAATTCTTTTCTCCCCTTTGATGCCTTATTGTTCAATTCCTTTATTAGCATAGTGGACACAAGCATCATTTCTGCCAAAGTGATTGGATAAATGTTTGGCACCAGAATTCCCTTTAGGAGAAAACTGTGTTTGGAAAAACACCCCAGCAGAGTTTGAGGATAACCAGTGACATCACATGGTCTCCCAGAAGGAATACAACTGTTTTGTAGAAGTCAAAAAAGAGAAGTATGTCTATTATTCTGGAAAAGAAATGGGAGGAGACAAAAGAAAAATGCCTGGGGTCAATAAGAGAGATTTGCTGAAGGCCACTTGTATGATAAGACTCTTCCTTAAGAGTCCCTATGGCTCCAGTAAAGGTGATAGATCCATGTATGGTGTGAGTACATACTGCATATTATGAACTCGGGAGAGAAGTGAAGTTTTAACCTTGGCAGTGATTGAGGTCTGTGCACAAGGTACAGACAGAAGGCATCCTGTGTGAGCAATCATCAAGAATTGGGAAGATTCATGTGAAGGCTCTCGGTTCCTACAGGCCTTAATATTGAGTATTTGAGTCAAATTGACCTACAAAGACCCTGGTAGACATTCAAACCACATGAGTAAAAAGAGAAATCGAAGTTACTTTAAATTTCTTAAACATCTAAATGGCGTAGAGAGGAATGTACCTGCCAAAATACTGCCATTGCACTTCACACTTCCTTTCACTTTGACTTCATGCTTCCACCTGGCTGGTTTTCCCAGGAACCTTGAATCCAGAAGAGGCGGGGTGAGGAACAAGAGCCATGTCAGTCTTAAGAAAAGGAAACCGAGAAAGTCACAGAGATCCACAAATGGCTGTATGGGAAGCCTGAGTTGTAGAAGACAGCTCTAGAGCTAGGCAGGAGGGACCACTTGATAAGGTCAAATAGACTCTCAGTGTTTCAACTGGCTTCTAGGTGCCGAGCTAATGAATCCTTCACTCTGTCCCAGGGCTAGGGCGAGCATAAAATCATTCAGTATTTTCAGATACTTGAGGAGCAGGCTGGCCATAGGTGTGAGTCTGAGATGATGCATGTCTCTCCTACATGTTTTTACCCTCCTTTCATTTCTTTGCTAGCAGCAATTTTTTGAGGCTTGGCTCAGCTTTTTCATTATTGGATGAAGATGCATGTCAAACTCAAAATTAACTTGCAGAAAGATTAAATATTGCTCAGCAAACAATTTCCTATAATTTACAAGCAATGGGAAATATTTTAAGGAAGGAAAATGGGTGCCACATCAACTGAACGAAAGACAAATGGAAAACCGAAAAGTCATCAGTAAAATGTTGCTTCAATGGCATGAAAGAAAGTCGTTTTTACATCAAGTTGTGACTGGCAATGAAAAGTGGATTGATTTTGAGAATCTCAAATGCACAAAATTATGGGTTGATCCAGGTCAATCATCAACATTGACTGCAAGGCCAAATTGCTTCGCAAAGATCCCATTTGGTGGCATCAGGAAGGTGTGATGTATTATAAGCTTCTAAAACCAGGTGAAACCATTAATACTGATCACTACCGACAACAAATAATCAATTTGAACTATGCTTTGATCTTGAGATGACCAGAAAAGGCCAGAAGACACGGCAAAGTAATTTTGCTTCATGATGATGCAGCATCATGCACTTCAAAACCAGTTAAAGACACCTTAAAAGTCCTTGCCTGGGAAGTATTAACCCACCCGCTGTATTCACCAGACCTTGCTCCTTCAGATTACCACTTGTTCAGATCGATGACACACACACTTTCTGAGCAGCACTTCAAAACATATAAGAAGTGGAAAATTGTGTCTCCGAATGGTTTGCCTCAAAACAAGAAAAGTTCTATTGGGACGGTATTCACAAATTACCTGAAAGTTGGATAAATGAGTAGCAGCAATGAACATTACTTTGAATAAAGCACTTTTGATGTTTCTATTGAAATTATCATGTTTCTTTTTATTACAAAATCCACCATTATTAACAGGTACACCTAGTATACAATATGGCATACATTTTAAATGGTTGCTCCATTTTTTAACTTTAAAAAAATAAAAGAATTGAGAGGTTGTAAAACAGGCAGTTTTGCACTGAGCTAACAACCAGGATGCAACCCATCTCTCCAACTCCTGAGAGTAAAGGGGCCGATTTCACTGTTGGTGCCTTCTCTTGGTGCTGAAAATGAAAGAATCAGACTCTTATTGGAGTTAAAATCAGGTTTACAGCTTCACATGTAAAATGGGAAAGAAGAGCAATGGTAATAAGTCAATTTGGACCCAGAGTAGATAATCTCTCTCAGATAATATATCTTTGCTGTTCAGGGTTCTTTTTATAGGCATGATTCCCCGTTAATATTTTTAAAATTTATATTTTGTGTTATGGGACTCTTTGTACCTGAACTACACAGTTTCTCATTTGGTCAATATATCACAATTGTTTCCATATTTTTTCAAGTAATTGAATCAACATTAAAAAATAAACAAGGTAACCAAATAAATAAGAAGATGTTTGTTGAGAACTAGTGATTTAGATTTGATGACTGTGATTTAGTTTCAAGAGGTTCTTCTATGAAAAACATAAGTGAAACTTTTCAAGGATACTTCAGGGAATTAACATTAAAGTGGAAAATGGTTTTAGAGGGAGTAGAAAATATCAGACCCGGATAAAGGACAAAAAGTCAGGTAGGAAGCATTAAAAATAACTATAGCTATATAACTATCAGAGAGTGGATGGTATCACTATGGCAAAGTTTTCTTATAATAATTATTAAAATCAGGATATTTCAATCAACTGGTCTTCATTTAAATTTGATGGAGAGGAGAGAATCCAAGATGGCTGCCCGGGTAGGCAACTAGCCGCAGCCACACACAACAATTTCAATAAAATACAACTAAAATATAAAATGGACATTACCCAGAACTACAGGAAAGTCGACTGACTGGAAATTCTACAACAAGAAGCAAGGAGAAAACCAGAAGGAAGCGAGGAGGAGCTGTAAAAGCCCAAGGTACGGAGACACGCGGCGCGCGGAGAGGACGGAGCCAGAGAGGAGGGAGGCCGAGTGCCTGGCTGGCGGTCCCAAGCGGGAAGGAGAGAAAAGCTCCGACTGTGCTGGGCCCAGCTCCAACTGCTCTAACCCCAATTCTAGGCCAGACCCTGGGGACCCAGGCTCATCCATACGGAGCTGGGTTGTAAGGCGGGACTCAGGGGAAGCGGCGAAAGGAGGTCCCGGAGGGACGCACACTGCACACAGAGAAGGGCTGGCCAGCTGTGCCGCGGGATTGCCCTGATGGGAAGGAGACAGGGGCTCCAGACTGCTCTGAACGCCACCTCCAATCCCACTACCAACTGAACTGAACCCCAATACCGGACTTATTGGGGGAGAGCATAGACAGTTTGGCAGCAGGCGAAAATCGAGGGCACCTTTCTCTCAGGCGCTTGCAACAAGTACTGAAGGACCCTGAGTCTCAGGAGTCGCATAGGGCGGGGCTGACGGAAGCCAAGGCTCCACCCTGAAACCCCGCCCCATCAGTAAAGCTGCCTGCGAAAATGCCTAAACCAAATAGATCACAAACGAAAGAAATGGAGGACAAAAAGCGACTGGATATAGAGTTCAAAACCACACTTATAAGGTTGTTCAAGAATCTCCTAGAAAAGGCCGATAAAATAAACAAGACCTATGAGGATATGAAAAGGGATCAACTAGAAATAATAAGGGATCAACAAGAAATAAAGAATACATTGTCTGAAATAAATAATATTTTATGGAGTCCTAAAAACAGAATGGAAGATCTCAAGAATCAAGTCATAGATTTGGAACATAAAGAGCCAGAAGACACTCCTCTGCAGACACAAGAAGGCCAGAGAATCCAGAAAGTTGAAGATAATGTAAGAAACCTCTGGGACAACTTCAAGTGAACCAACATCAGAATTATGGGGGTCCCAGAAAATGAGAGAGAGCAAGATATCGAAAACATACTGAAAGAAATAGTGACAGAAAACTTCCCCCACCTGATGAAAGAATTAGACTTACAAGCCCAGGAAGCGCACAGAACTCCAAACAAAAGGAATCCAAAGAGGACCACACCAAGACACATCATAATTAAAATTTCAAGAGCAAAAGACAAAGAGAGAATATTAAAAGCAGCAAGAGCAAAGAAGGTAGTTACCTATAAAGGAGCACCTATACGATTGTCAGCTGATTTCTCAACAGAAACCATGCAGGCCAGACGGGAATGGCAAGAAATATTCAAGGTGATGAATAGCAAGAACCTACAGCCAAAGATAATCTATCCAGCAAAGCTATCACTCAGATTCGAAGGTCAGATAAAGAGCTTCACTAATAAAAAAAAAGCTAAAGGAGTTCATCACCACCAAACCAGAATTATATGAATTGCTGAAGTTTTCTGTCACTATTTCAGAAGAGAAAGTACCTTCAATAAATAAAGATAAAAATTATGAACAACAAATACGTAACTATCAACAAGTGAATCTAAAAACCAAGGAAATTAAAAAAAAAATCTGATGAACAATATTAACTGTTGAACATAATAGAATCAGAGGTACGGAAGGGGAGTGAACTGTTTATTCTTGGGGGAAAGGGGAGAGGGGGATGTGGGAAGAGACTGAACATAAACTGTGCACCTATGGATGAGGACAATGGGGGGTGGGGAAAGGGCAGAGGGTGGGGTGAGAAGGGGGGGGAAAGGAACATTTGTAATAATATGAACATTAAAAATTTATTTAAAAAAATAAAAAAATAAAAAAAGATTCAAAAAAATAAAATAAAATAAATTTGATGAAGAAAAAATAGTTGATGGAATAATTTTGGAACATATTAATAGATTGGCAAAGAATTGGAGTATCTGACACTTTCTTACATTGCTGGAGAGAGTGAAGAACATAGCAATCACATTTGGAGAACAATTTGGCAGTATCTACTAAATTAACATATGCCTAACATATGACTAGAAATTTAACTCCTAGATACATACCCAAGAGAATGAATCAATGCAGCCACAAAAATACATGTGCAACAATATTTACAGCACCTTTATTCTTAGTAGCCCAACTGAAACCAATAACCAAAATTACCATCAGTTGAAATGAGTAAATAAATGATGGGATCTATATATATAAAAGGCTAATATGCAAAGTGTCCCCTTGGGAGTTTGACCTGAAGAATTGGATTTCAATAGCTCATTAAGACATGTTGCACAGAACATGGCAAGCAACCAGCTTTTGGCAGGGGGGACAAGAAAATTAGGAGGGGGAGGCAGGGAGGTGGGGAACCTGATCAGCCTTGATTGCCAGTCAGGCCTGGGAACCCTACCCATGTATGAATTTCATGCACCGGGCATTAATATAATATTATTAATATAGTATTAATATAATAGAACACTAAATAGGGAGAAAAAATTAAGAAGAATAAACTCCAAGTACTCATAATAACATATAAATTTTATGCACATAATTAAGAACAAAAGAAGCTAGAAACAAAAGAGTACAAACTGTAGGAATTTTTTTATGAAATTCATGAACAAGCAAAGCTAAGCTATGGATTTAGAGGTTAGAATAGTGACTACCTCTCAGTGAAGTGCTGACTGGGAAGGACCACCTGGAAAATTTCTGGGATTCTGGGAATGTTCTCTACCTTGACACAATGATGGTTGCAGAAGAAACAAATGTAAAGGGTTCACTGAGCTGTATATGTACAATTAGTGTGCTTTATTATAGTTCATACCTGAATAAAATGGGTTTTTAAAACAATAAAATCAGTATTTAGAGGAGAGTAATAGTTGATTGCTTTTTTCTTTTTTCCTCACTTCTTGACTAGATATTTTCAGCTAAGTGAAGAAATAATTATATTATCAGACATTATTAAATATATCCAAAGGCCAATTGGCTCTCTAGCCACAGCTCAGCTGCTGTATTGCTGCTAGTCTTTGTTGGGAAAATCCCTTGTAACCACTATCTTTCTCATTCCTTAAAAATAATGTCATTAAACACACACACACACACACACACACACACACACACACACACTCTACAATTGTTAACTTACAGAAAAATAAAATTAGGTAAAACAAAAGTGACATAACATTGTGTGCTATGTGGACCAGCTGTGGAAAGTAATTACATTGTAATCCTAATATAAAAAGCCAGGGCTGTGATGATTGAAACAACCAAATGGACGATACAACAAAGGCTGTGTGGGGTGACCAGGCCAGCAGGGGGTGGGCAGTTGGGGTGACCAGGATGGCAGGAGGGGCAGTTAGGGGCAACCAGGCTGGCGGGGGAGGGGAGGGGAGGGAAGGGGGAAGGGAAACAGGGGCAATCAGGCAGGCATGCAGGTGAGCAATTAGGAGCCAGCAGTCCCAAATTGTGAAAGGGATGTCCTGATTGGAGAGGATTCAGGCTGGGCTGAGGGTAGCCCTCTCCCCCATGCACAAATTTCATGTACCGGGCCTCTAGTAATAAATAACTGTAAACACTAAATATTGAGAAGACAGAGGAGAGAAGTGTGGATGTGCAAGTTGGAGTTTTCCAAATATGGGCCCCATCAATGCTTCCCATCTATGTGCCTTGCTTCTATGTGATCTTGCCAGTCTCCCCTCCAGAGAAATAGTCTAATTCTCCTCTGGCCTTAGGACCCATTTTTTTTAATCAACAGAAAATAGTAGAAATGATAGCAAGTGACTTCCAAAACTATGTCAGAAAGGCCCATTTAACAAATGTCTGGTTCTCTTGGAACTCCTGCTTTGAGAGCCTTCATCTGCTGTGTAAGAACTCTGCTTAGCCTGAGACTACAATGCTGGAGAGAACATGGAGGAAGACAGAGTCCACGAAGGCAGCCCAGGCGCCTTCAGCCATGTGAGCCAGTGCAGCAAAAATGAGATATGTGAGTATAAACAATGACTCTATCAAGGTGAGTCCAGCCTCAGTTGCCATATGATTGTAGGTACATGGAGGCCCCTAAGACAGATGGATGAACCCACCTGAGCCTCGTAAAATCACAGAACTATAAAGTGATTTTAATTGATGGCCGTTTCAAACTTTAATGTGTTTGTAAAGAAATAGGCCAACCAAACAAGTGTTAAATTCTTATTTTCCATAGAAGTCAAAGAACAGAATATAAAGTAAGCCAAGAAATAGAAGTATAAGCATATAGTTTAGAAATGTGGTTGTAAGTTAACTAGAAATAACCCAAAAAGACAAAAATAGTTGCTTTTAGAGAATAAGGTAACAGGTAGAGATGGTGAGACAATGGACCACTGTTCAGAGTTATAAGTCTTATAGTGATATTCCACATTTAAAGCTAAGTTTTATACACATATTTATTTGATAAAAATAAAATTTTAATTTAAAATCAATGGCAAAACGGGGATATCTACCTTGCTAGAAATTACATTATGACTGAAAGATTTGCTGAAGTATATAAAAGTGAGAGCAATTTGAAACTCTACAATACCATCTTTATGCTTCACTTGATCTGTTCTTATTTTCTAATTTTCCATTCTTTCTTCAGGTTTATTATTCAACAAGAGCTTTAAAGAAATTCAGGTTACTTTATTTTAAAAATATGGATTCTAGTACCAGTTTTGTATTAAATGTACAGTGTCTTAACCAATTTGGGCCTCAATTTTTTTACTTATTGATAACAGAGTGAGTGGGAGTGGATATAACATTGAAGATGTCATTTCCAAAATGTTATATTTAGCATCTCTTGAAATCTATCCTCAAGCTAATCATTAGTCAGTTCTATGATGATAGAGTTAAAATGATCTGGTACAGGAAATCTCATTTTTTGTTCTTATCAGCCCTTTATACATTTTAAATCATCAACTATCCCAAATACCTTTAGTTTATGTGACCTATATCTTTTGATATTTTCCTTTTAGAAATTAAAAATAAAATAAACTTATTTGAAAATAACAACACACCAATTACATATTAATATATTTATTATGCAAATTATTAGTTTTTCAAATGAAGCAATTTAATTAAAAGAGCAGCATTATTTTACATTTTTGTAAATTGTTTGTCTGACTCAATGGATTAGAGTTAGTATTATAACTGCCTCTGCATTCAACCTTGCTATATCACATATTAAGTCACCTCTGGAAAGCCCCACTACAAAATAATTGTTAAAAGGCAAATAATGCTTTGGTATTATTATAAAAATAATTTTAAACTCAAAGATCCCATGAAGGGGTTTTAAGGACCTCCGGCCTAAAATATCCCAATACATTGACCTTGAAGAACTTTAAAGATTGAACCTCTAAAAAGTCAACCAGTAATAGATTTAAGTAATAGATAAGAGATGAACCATCTTTCTTTATTTAACAACTAGAGGCCCAGTGCATGAAATTTATGCATGGGTTGGGTCTTTGGCCTGGCTGGCAATCAGGGCCCATCTGTGGGGTGACCGGTGGGGCGATCTGGGGGGGGGCCCTGCTGCCACCTACCTTGGCCGACCAGGTGCTGCCCACTTGCTGGCCCTGCCCCCTGCTGCCACCACTGGTCGCCTCTGTCTGTGGGAGGAGACTGGCAGAGCAATTGGGAAACAGTGCTGGCCCCCTTGCCAGCCACCCTGCCACCCCATCACCTGTTACCACTGTTGATCAAGACCAGGCAGAGAACACTGTAATTCAAAGTCTCCATTCACCCGTCGCTGTTTAGATGATTATAAACATGCAGATTTCAGCCCAGATTCAAGAAATAGGATAGTGCAACGGTGGACAGAACTTGTGCATTGAGTATCCTATGGAACTGAATTTACATCCTATTTCTACCACTCAATGGGAGCCTGATTTTGGATTAGTTGCATAACTACATCCCATCTCAGTTTTCTTGTTTAGTTCTGTTTTAAACCAGGACTAAATATTTTTAAGGCACTGAGGAGTTTTAGAAATTAAGAGTGATCAATTTTGTAGTGCTCGGTCTTCAAATTTCAGGTCAGGCACTTGGTGAAGTCCTAGAGAAGCTTCAGTTTTCCTTCTTAAATGGGGATAAAAGTAGTACCTGGAAGGTTATAAGCAGAATAAGAGAAAGCTTCCATAATACCTGACACAAAAGCTTAACAAATATAAATATTTTTATTACAGATTATATGAAGCATTAGCACATAGCCAAGTGCTCATCACATTAGCTCCCTTCCCCTTCAACATTCAGTTGGCTTGGCCCTATCACAGTGGTCAATTGTTTAAAAGGTCAGATAAATAAGTTGTATGAAAATGCAAGTTCCTTCCTTCTTTCCTTCCTTCCTTCCTTCCTTCCTTCCTTTCCTTCCTTCCTTCCTTCTTTCCTAGCAAACTAGAGCATTTGAAACAAAGCAAAAGCTAATGGTTGTTTCACCTATGTTGAACAATAATGTCTTTCTTCCCATAAAGCACATTGAAGTACTGTGCTGAAGAGGGTCAGCATCAGAAGCTCTTGTTCCTGCTATCTTGTGACTGATAAATCACAACTCACTGTGCCTGGGAAGAAACACATTGGAACTGAGAAAATACAGTTCAACTAAAAGTGGAATGACATGTTTTTAATCTATAGTGAAAAGTATGAGGCAGGGATAGTGGGGCACTAGAGGAGGGAGGGTAGGAGAGGAGCTTTGGTCTCCTTTCAGGTGAGTACTGAAATGCAGGCATCTGAGCCCTAGCTGGAAGAACCTCCTGAGGCACTGGGGCTCAGGTGGATTCTCAGTCTTATCCAAGTCATAATAAACTATTCCCCCCTTGAACCTGTGAGAAGCCAGAAAAAGAATTCTCTTCTATAGTTGGAAGGGTGGGTGGGGAGGGAGAGGCTGGTTTTCAGGGATTGGCAAGGGTTGTACAGCAGCTTCCGATCAACTTCAGTGGTTCTGATCCAGGCAAGACAATTAAGAGGATCTCAGGGACACCTGTCAGCTGTTTAGGGGCTTGAGACTTGATGTGTGTAGCTGCTCTATTCTTTTGGACATAAATTTTATAGGCTTCCAAAAAAAAGTCTACTTCTGTTCTCAAATATGATATAGTTTCATACGAGTTTACTGAAAAGTCCTGAAAACAAGGGAGAATTGTCCAAATGTAATCTATTACAGCTATACTAAGACTCAGATTCAGAAACAATTGCTATTTTAGATTGGTATTTTAATCTATACAAGTTGCTATAACAAAAATACCACATACTAGGTGGCTTAAATAATAAACATTTATATCTCACAGTTCTGGAGGACAGAAAGTCCAAGATGAAAACACCTGCAGATTTGGTGTGTGGTGAGAACCAGGTTCCTGGCTCTCTACTATTGTATATCTTCATGTGGTCGAAGGGGGCGACTCTGGTCTCTTCAGCCCTTTATTAGGGCACTAATCCCATCCATGAGGCCTTCACCCTCATGGTCTAATCACTTCTCAAAGGCCCCATCTCCTAATACCATAGGATTGTATCTGGGATTAGGATTCCAACATGTGAATTTTGGCAGACACAAACATTCAATACATAACATATAGGTTTATCCAGTTTATCATAAATGGGACCATTATAAATGTTAAGATAAACAAGATTAAACAAATGAACAAACAAAACAAAGACTTAAAGAAACAGAGAACTGATATTTGCTGAAAGGAAGGGAGTGGGGGAATGGGTGAAAAAGGTGAAGAATATAGTCAATAATATTATAATGTTGCCAGGAGACAAATGGTTACTAGACTTAGTGTGGTGATCATGTTGTAAGGTATATGTGGATCATCATGTTGTACTCCTGAAACTAATATAATATTGTATGCCAGTTATACTGTAATAAAATGTTTTAAAGAATAAAATATTAGCAAAGGCCCAGACTTTTGTTCAGATTGAGACAGTTGTGTGGTTTTACTAATTTGTCAAGTTTTGACTGCCAAACAAGACATAGAGGTCATCATTATCTGTTGTTTGCACTAATCACACTAGGAGAAGACCTCTACATTAGGGAAGAGTCATAGATCTTTGTGCAGATAAATGTATGTGTCTGATAAGAGGCTATGCTGCCAATACTTTGGGGATTAAATAATTATAACTAGAGAAAGCAGAGTAAAATACATTGACTCATCCAATAAGTAAGACCTTTTTCTATGAGACCTCTTTTATCCACAGAATGACTTTAAGTAAAGGTATATTTGAAATCATGGATTTTAAGATGTAAAAGTCTAGGATGAATTTTTAAAATGTTTTTTATTGATTTCAGAGAGGAAGGAAGAAGGAGAAAGAGAGAGATAGAAACATCAAAGATGAGAGGGAATTATTGATTGGCTGCCTCCTGCACACCCCTTACTGGGGACAAGCTTGCAACCTGGGCATGTGCCCTGACCAGGAATCATATTGAAAGCTCCTGCTTCATAGGTTGCTGCTCAACTACTGAGCCATGCTTGCCAGGCTTAACAATTTTAAGTTTAATCTATGTTTTAGAATCAGTTCTCATACTGATAGTTATCCTGTGATTTTCTTTTTAACCTCTCTGCATTTAATTTCTTCACTGTGAAAGTTGGGTTGAATCAGGGTTGTACTAGATAGTTAACCCTTTCCTTCCATCTCTAAAAATTCTTTTTAAAGTTGTTTGTAAACAGGTTCACACTGAAGATAATTTACCCCTAAACAATTCATAGACACCAGCACATAGTAATCCACATATTGAATCTCTGTGTACTATGTATTCCAAAACTTTTGTTGTTGTTGTTGTTGTTGTTGTTGTTGTTGTTAACTATGGGAAGAGGATATTTGTTGAATGTCTGTGAATCAGAGCCACTAAGCCATTGCTGCACACTCAAAGTGATACCTTTGGGAGCACTTAGTAAGTCGTTATTTGCATATAGGTACAATGGGGATGAAGGACACCAACAAGGCGTGGTGAATACCCCAAATAATTAACACTAGTAACTATAGCTTCCCCTAGGCCTGGAGGGTGAGAGTGATTACTGGACTCCAGACAGAGAGAGGTCTAGAACATTAGGATAAGAAAGGGTCACTTGGCTGCTTTCAAGGCCTTAAGTAGGATGGACACAGTCATTACTAACCTCTGGCTTCAAGAAAGGGAACTAGGGAACCTCACTCATTCCTCAGTCTGATCTCCTGTCTGCATCTCCTACTGGCCAAATCAAGTCCAAAGAGAGAGTGGGGAGCCTCCATAGGATTCTCCAGAGAAACATAATTATGAATAGTGGAGAGAGAGAGAGAGAGAGAGAGAGAGAGAGAGAGATTTTAAAGAAATTGGCTCCCACAATGGTAGGAGCTGGCAAGTCTGAAATTTGCAGAGCAGTCTCGCCGGCTGGAGACCCAGGGAAGATATGCTATTGCAATCTTGAATCCAAAGGTAGTCAAAGATATAATTCCTTCCTTCTCAGGGAACTTCAGTCTCTGCTCTCAAGCCTTTGATTAATTGCATGAGACACACCCCTATTATAGGGGATAATCTGCTTTACTTGAGTCTACTAATTTAAGTGTTAATCACATTAAAAAAGTTCTTCATAGAAACATCTAGACCGGTATTTGACCAAACAGTTGGCCACCTTATCTTACCCAAATTAATACATACAATTAACCATTACCTCATTCACCTAGGTTAGGTTTCAGGGGTTTGGAGAACTAGGAAAGGTAGAGAGAGAATCTGAGGGCAGGGAGACACAGACTATATGACAACCCAGCAATTCCACCAGACATTTCATTCTTCCTTGTCAGGCTTTCCAAGGGCATTACATAGGAGCATTTTGTAAACTGTTGAGTTCATAGTGCTAGCCCAAAATCTGGCACACGCTGTTGTAGATTCCCCAAGGATCTTGATGAAATTGACTTGAATGTCACCCTCCAGCCTCACTCCTGCCGGCACAGAGGCCTGCACTACAGATGCTGCCAGGAGTGCTCCCAGGGCACCTTCAAGACACGTGGGCGCCGACTACAGAATTCCTCTCCAATCGGAGTGGATCCCAGCCGGTCACACCAGGCCCCGTCCAGCTCGCAGACGTGCGCTATTCGGTCACTTTGTGCTTCTAAGCATCGCCACCCACTGCCAGCCTAACCAGATAAACGAGGCCCTTCACATAGAATCCGGCTCCCCAGCCCCTCTGGAAGTCAGGGTGTCTCATGTGGGCCCGCATCCCCATTTGGCAAGAATGGGCCAGGCTGAGCAAGGCTGCCCTGAGCTGGGGGCTGGGCTCCACCAAGGCCCAGCCTGCCTCTTCTGCCCCCGCACCACCTTCCTGGCTCCAGAAAGCATTGAGCCTGATCCACAGGCCCCTGCCTGGACCTGAAATGCCATCGCACTTTAAGGGCCCGATACAAATCCGCATTCTTATTAAAGACCCACATCCCTGAAGCAAAAGTGCCTCTAGTGTTATCCCCATGTTATAGTGATAGGTGATAGATGCGTTTTAGAGAATGAAGTCCATTGCCCAAGAAACGTGTCTAGCAAGTGGGCCGGCTGAGATACACATGACCCCCAAGTCCATTTACTGAATCAAAGTGGGATGCTTTGTTCTTTCCCATTTTTCCTTTTCCTTCTTTCCTTCCTTGCTCTCTCCTTACTTCCTTTCTCCCTTCCTCCTTTCCTCTCTCCCTCTCTTCATTTCTTCTTAGAATAGTGTTCATAGAAACAGTGAATTGATTCAAAAAAAATATTTGGATTCCTGGTTTCTTTTCTAAACTTAGAAAATTTGCCCGTTTGTCAATATTGAGCACTCATTCTCTGCCTTCCCCCCACTTCCCAATGAGCTTGGCTGTCTCCTACGGAAGGGGCATGCCTGCTCTGGGCTGCCACAGCTCCTGCTGCATCCCTCTTACACCTGGTTTGCTCAGTCCCTCCTGTTACCGCCCACCCACCACCACCGGAGCCAACATCTCCTTTAGGCACAGTGGCTCAGGCCCACAATGCTTTTAGGGGTCCATGAAAGTATCTTAATTTTAATTTACTTTAAAATCAGGAGAAGAAATATATCTATATCTATCTATCTATCTATCTATCTATCTATCTATCTATCTATCTATATAAAAGCCTAAGCAACCGAATAATCGAACAACCAAATGACTGGTTGACTGGTTGTTAAGATGTGCACTGACCACCCAGCGGCAGATGCTCAACACAGAAGCTGCCCCCTGGTAGTCAGTGCACAGCCAACCTCCTGCAGCCAGCCAACTTCTTACAGTCCCTCCCCCATGGCCAGCTGACCCCTCAGATGGGCCCTGATCACCGGCCAGGCTGAGGGACTCCACCCATGCACAAATTCATGCACCAGTCCTCCAGTATAATAATAATAATAATAATAATAATAATAATAATAACTACTACAATGATGAGTTCAACGTGGACTGTATTTGTCTTTATGCCAATGCAATCATTACATGGAATCTTCTATTTTTTTTTTTTAATTGAAGGAAGTGGCCCTTGAAGATGAATGATTGTCAGGGTGGCACTCTCATGCCTGCTCCAAGCAAGTATGTTTGCAGCCCCCAGTTGAGCCAGAGGTGCAGCTGCTTTTCAGAGTTCCCATGAATGCACCACTTCCACAAGCTGACTAACAACACTGACTTTGGAAGCAGAGTTGGGTTTGAAGCCAGGCTCTGCAACCTCAAGCCTGGGACCTTGGACAAGTACTTAACCTCCTCATCTGTGAAATGGGCATAACGTCATTGCCTCCTTTTAGACTTATTTGAGGCATAAATAAGCTCCTGTATGTGTAAAGCTCTAAGACCAGTAACTGCCATGTGTTTAATCTTATTTTTATGATATTTTCTGAATGTGCCCCCCATTCATATGTTAAAGCCCTGATCCCCAAGGTGATGGTGATATTTGTAAATGGGGCTTTCAGAGCTAATTAGGGTTAGGGGAGGTCATGAGGGTGGACCCTTCGTGATGGGATTAGTGCCCTTATAAGAGACTAGAGGACTAACTATTGGCCACATGAGGACACAGGGTCCAGGTGGCCATCTGCAAGCCAAGAAGAAGACGCTCACCAGAACCCGACTATGCAGGAACCCTGGTCTTGGGCCTGAACTTCCAGAACTGTGAGAAATAAGTGTTGAAACCTGTTGTTGAATCCCCCCAGTCCATGGTATTTCATTTTAGTTGCCCGGCTGACTGAGACATGTGTCCAAACCAAAGAGTTTTCTTTAGCTGTTAGCATTAGG